TAAGTTAAGGTATATACAAATTAAATTTCAATGAAATAACAAATTGGTATCTATATTATAATGTTAAATCAAAATAATTGATTTCCTTGTAATTATGTAAGTTTATTTATTCATTTAAAAAATAATAATAATAATAATTGAAGTACCTTAAAAAAATTATATGTTGGGTCGCATAAATAAATTATTTAACGGTTGAATAAAATTGAATGTACTAATCATGAGTCTCTAAATCATGCATTTTAAGTGATCATTAAAAGCTCACTATTGATTCATGAAATGTTTGGTATAGTTAATGCAATCAGGCATAATAAGGGTATTTTTTATGACTTCAGTTATTTGATTGACTTTCATTGTCAAATAATTTTATACTGGTATATTTACTAGATTTTCCATTATTTAACGTGCTTTAGGTTATCAACATCCGATCCCTAAAGTGGTGAACCACAAAAAAGAAATTGAAAATAGTATAAGTACCTATATGTGTTTGGACGTTTATATATATATATTTACACAAGGTAATTTAGTGATGATCAAAATAAGACCAAGACCAAGACTTTCAAAATCTTAGTCTTGGTCATGGTCTTGCATAAGACTCTTGCAAGACTCTTGCTATTTTCACAAAATATATAAAAAAAACGAAATACCTGTTATAGCTGTGTGTAGGTTTTTTACTATGATCAGATGATCTCTAAGATGAAACTTAAGTCCAGCGTATTATATAGTATATTAATAGTTCAAACATTAAATTAAAACAAGTCAAACAATTAAATTTAGTATTTAATTTATATTATTTTTATCTTTTAGAAATAAAAGATAAAGATAGAATTTATAGAATTTTTTTTTTTAATTAGATACTTATTATTTAACATTACCTACATATAGGTTCCTTTTTTTAGGTTTTTTTTTTAAAAACTCGTTTTTCATATAGCTCAATCATATGTAAGCCGGCCACTATAATTACCCAAAATTTAATCTGAGCTCAGAGATAGAGGTAAATTTAAATAATTAATATACTATTATAAAATAAATGTACAACACACAATGCATATTTTTTATTCCGTGGCTTTTAATACGGGTAAAATATGTTTTATATTTTTATGACCATTATAACATTGCGTATGGTATAATAAAATGAATAATTTGTCTGTCATGAGCATTGCCCATATCGCACGCATGCGATTCTAAATACATTACCCTCCAGTTCGCACGCACGACCATGGCACAATATACCTATATTGTGTTATGCACCTCAAAGTGGGAATTAAAAAATGTTGATGCAATTCGGATATCATCGGTCGTCTGGTATACACTTAGGCACTGCTGTACGTTATATAATATATCATTGTATATCTATAGAAGAAAATATGTATCGCATTTTAACTTACCTATCTATAGATAAAAATTATTTAAAGTATTTATTTATATACTTTTACTAAATACAATTTTTGTATATGAGATCAATTATCTAGAACATTTTTTGTTACATTTTGAGTGGCTTGATTATTATTTTCAACTTCTTTAAATATCTTTTGTGTATCTATCGAAATTAATTACGTGTGTTTTACTGCAGTTATTTTGTAATATATTGTTAATTATCTGTACCTAAACACTGATTGGAAATCGTAGGTACTTAATACATTCGTATTTACCTATTACACGAGTGTAAAAATTGAAACTTTTTTATTATAATATATTATCATATTAAAGTATAGCAAAAATGTTATTTTACAAATACAATTTTAAATCATGTATTATGATATAAATTATATGTTGTTATTTTGTGTGGATAATGTTTATGTTATTAATCTTTGTACAGCACTACAAATACTACATTCGGTTACACTTATTATGTTATGCCTCACCCCAGCAGGTCGAATATCATAAAAGTTAAACGAATATATTAATATTATTATTATGTAATGGTTTTTCTTTTTATTCCTCAGTTACAGTGCTGTAAAAACTCGTCTTTCTCGGTGCGACTGTCGAAAAAAATTTCTTTGCAAACTTTTCGTTTAATTTCTACGTGCACAGGTACGAGTCGGTGTATACATTATTAAACGCATATAACCATACCCGTATATAGGTTCCCTTGTATACGCATAAGCGTCTTATCTAGAAAGTTTGTAAATCTCAAGTTGTATGGATGTATTGCACTGTATATACAAGTATATAGTAATTGGATATAACTTGTATAACCTTAATGTTTAATAATTTAAATATGCATATTAATTATATCTGCTATATTTATGCGGCGTTATCCGTGCAGTGTGGGTAGGAACCTACCTAAAAGTTATTTTTCGGTTTGATCCTTGTTACTACGTAGGTATATAGGATTTTCGAACTTTCTAGACACACTATATTATTATTATTATTGTTACTATTATTACATAATGCACGGTATACAGATTATCGTAGTTAGATTATCGGATCAAAATATGTACGTGACATAATGCGTGCCACGACTTTGTGGAACTTACAAAACGGTCCGTTTAAAGCTGGAGTACATTATAATATGCGAAAAGGTCGACCAAGCATTCTAGCAAACACCTATCATAATATAAGCGTGTATACGACAAGACTAATTATTCGTGATTAACCCCAGTAAGCGTTCAATACACAGTTAATATTGGTACCTATAGGTATATATGGTTACATATTTGATATTATCGATGTCCGACGGTCTTGATTCATTGATCAATCCAAAAGTAATCGTAACCACCACGGAAAATTGCAAATTAAATTAAATTAAATTCTATATACCTTTATTTATACTTCATTTGCCAACCAGGAATACCCGGATAAACTTCCAAAGTATACCTACCCAATTTTTTAATGTTCGAATGGTGAAATTAAACTGATTGATATTGACACAAATTTTTTTTTGGAATGCATTTACTTTTAAGATCAATAATGAAAATCAATAGTAGACAAATAGACAATAAATTGAGGTTTGAGAATAATAATTTTCATAAATAGTAAAACGATTATTGCAATTTACCCCTCAAAAAATATATTAATAGTATAATATTATATACTTTCACTGTATTGTCACTGACTTGTCTGAAACTCTTTTTGATATTACTTTATGAATAATCCCAAATTATTTGCTATGAGTTTCACAAAGACCGAATATAAAAATCAAATCAAATATGATTGTGTTCTTGTGCTTTCAAAATTATACTTACTTTCGCTACCCCAACACTAAAATTATCTCTAGGCTTCTTTACTACCCAATCTGATTCACAGCGGCAACGCCCATTTTATAAAAGAAACATATGTATTTATATAAAATATAGAAGTAAAAACAAGTCTAAAGCTCGAACCTTTATAAAAAAATTATACACAGTTAATTATGATTTTAAATTACAATATTATAATGATAAAAGTACCTATTGCAAAATATGATTTTCAACGAAAATCAGTTTTATGAAAATACTCATACCAATCGTTTTAGGACCAATAGTATCTTACCTATACCGCTCTCCAACTACAATAGTAAAACTTCAGAACAAATCAAATGAAATAAAAATGTATCATCCATTTACTGCAGGGTATGACGCGTTCAAGTATCTGCAATGTTCTAACGCAGTGTCTAGAAAAATTAAAAATTATGTATTTTGATTCGAAGGTAACAATAATATAATATAAATAAATCGAATTTAAAATATTTGGGGTGTGTTTAAATTTTATATTAAATATATTTTAATATAAATTACCTATGCTATGGATGAACAAACACAAATCAAAATTGTGTAAGCTTATAAGCGTTATAATATGTATATATGTAAATATGTATACACATAAAGGATGATGTTATGGGTGTGGCATGGATTTAAGTATTAAACGTTTAGTTTAAAATTTAAAATTAAAAATCAAATTGTGTAATATTATATATTATTATATAATAGTCAGATCTTATTTAATATTACACGATTTGATTTTTTTAACCACGTTTGTATAGGTATCCTAATTCCTAACTATAGTATGGGTGATGAAATATTTTTGTTGCTCTTTTCGATTATTATCATTTTTATGTGAAAACTATACAAATATCTTTACTGATTAGTATTTTTACGATGACATACCTTACGATGTGTCCTATTTTTTTTTAGTAGGATCTTTATTGTCAATTGGTTTGTTTTTTTTTACTCATAAACTAAGAATAAGCTATTTGACCTTTTCCAAGTTACTATAGCATTTAGCCGGGGATAGGAAAAATGGTCTTAAATATTTACTCGAATACCTACCTATATATGCTTTAAATATTTAGTATAGGATCAATAATATATTGAATTTATATGACGTATTATGACAGCGGGCTATATGCAATAAAATAGTATTTAATAAGAAACACATTATCAACTGAATATATTATAACCTTATTTAATGTAATATAATACATATGAGCACTTATATAATATATTATTATGTTATACCTAAATGTTGTTACTAGGTAGGTAATGTAGTTTCTCCAACCCACGGAAAAAACGAAATTTTCATTTAATTCCAAAATTATGAAATCATAAAGGCGTTAGTAATTATTTGTCTAATAGGTAGGTAGTTAAAATATCATATAAAGTTTATTTTTTAAATTTGAATTATTAAAAAATAATATTACATTTAATGATATTAGTATAAGTGTGTATTATTTTTAACGGTTTACAATATGTCAATATCACACGCTATTATATATATATGATATATGATTATATAATCATTTATAATGCTTTATACTAAATTGATTATAACACTATGAAACCAACATCTGACATTAAACAATTGAAGAACTGTGTAAGAAAATATTGAATATTATACATTTATACTGTAATATCAGCGTATAGAAAAATAACAAATTTCGCACAACTCTAGGGTACTATATATAATATATATTAATTAATTAATATTCTGAACTTGTACATGCGTTAAACGTTTATAATACATTTATATTAAATTATTACTAGATTAGGTACTAATGATTTTGTTTTGTATTTTAATTTTAGGGATCTGAAGATTCAGACGTTATAACAAATACAGCGGACCTGTCTCTGGGCATTGAAAAAGAAGCGCTGCGGCGCGAAAATGAGCACAGAGCTCGTTCACAACTACTTAACAGTCGTGTAAGTATATATGAAAAACAAATACTATATTTTTTTTAGTTTAACAACCTTAAATTAATTGGAAATAGCAACATGGATACTGGATAGGTGATATTGATTGACACGATGAATGATGAATACTATTTTTAAACAGTTAAAAATATAAAACAAATTAATTTCTTTAAAAATGTCGTTTATTATGATTTGGTTTTAAAAATAGTACAAATTATAATTTCATTGTCGACTATTATATGAGTACTTTAAAGGTCTAAAATTAATTTTAACAAATTTGAACAATAACATTTTTTGTAGTAGTATACGTGAACATTATTTTATTTATAAATTAAAGTAAAATGTTCCACAAACATGTTCGTTGTATACAGTTTTACGTTTTCGAAATTTAAATGATTGTGCAAATATTGTATTTTTATACGACGGTGTTATAAGTATAAATTTGTGATTTTCAGACAAAACCGGTGGCGTTTGCCGTTCGCACAAATGTCGCATTTGACGGTAAAAAGGACGATGACTCACCAATACAAGGCTGTGCGATCACATTTGATATTAAAGATTTTTTGCATATCAAGGTATGGTAGTACGGTTTTATCTAACAAAATAAATATCGTAGTAGTATTTTGGTTCTACTAGTTTAATATAAAACAATGTTTGTATGTTTTTATTATTTTTGTATGTTTGTATATTTGTGTAATTAATATTTTTCTACGTACATAACACAATTAAATTCTTGACGATACGTCATGTAGTTTTCTGTAGAAACATTTTTACAAGATTATTATTGTATTTTTATACTTATAACATGTCAGACTGGCAGGAAATTGAAGAAAGTCTTATGGACCAGCCGGTCAGAAAGTGTTTTAAGTCGTCTGTTTTTTTTTTTTGTTTTTTTTTTTTTTTATACATAGCTTAGTCCGTACAACACTTGGCACGATTTATAGTTTCATTTTTTTTACAACTTCATACTAAATAAGTAGACATTAGTTTTCAAAGTACAATAATCTTTTATTTTAATACTTGGTGTAATGTGAATAGCTTTAGTTAAGGTATTAACCAAGTTTGTTATCTAGCACAATATGTAAAGTTGAATTCAATTAAAAATTATATATATTTAGACCTAGATAATGTTAAAAACAATATATTTTGGAAGATATATTACAAAAAGTTAGTTTTGGATTGAAATCAACTTTTTATAAACTTAAAAGTTTTTACCAAAATTAAAAATATTTTAATTTGTACTCCTACCTTGTTTTATTAAATTATTAATTTCATTTATATCGCTTATTTGAAATTATAATATTAAGATTTAAGGAACATTTGTTATTAATTTTGTAAAACATATTTTCTTATTATGTTATGTAAATTAATGGAAGAATTGACCAAAGTTTGATATACTTTTATATCATTTACCTACATCAAATCGTATAATATTATACGAACGCTTTCAAAAATGTTCAACAAATTAATAGTTATAGTTTTGAAAAATAAAGAAATTAATTTAAATATTCGATACAGTTATTTAAAGCGTCTTAAAAACTATATACTTCTAAGTTCTATTGATTTAAACATAATATATAGTGTTTTATTTTTAAGAAAAGTATGATTATGAAAAATGTGTATAAACGATCAATAAGGGGATTGAAGCCTGTAGGCCCTTAGCCTTGTAAAACTACTTTTACACAAAAAGTTTCTTGGCCGTCGCCCTCAAACAAAAATACGAAATTCGTCTTTGTGATTTTATGATACTATAATATTGTCTGCACTGTTATTATGTCTTATGAACTGAATTGTATGACATTTTCAAGTGTCCTCAATATGCTTTTCACTACTTGTACATTCACTTTAGACCACTCTTAAAATGTCCACTAGCAAAAATTCCCTAATGCAGCCTATATAATGATATAATCATACTGAATATTATTTTTATTTTTATTGATCCTATATAAAGGCTTACTCGTAAAAGGGATACATGCTATACAATAATACAAATAGAATATTATAATGATATATCGGTGTATACTACTTGCGTCCCAACTTTATAAGAGTAGGCAACTCATACCTGTCGTATTTATTGACGGGTTATTTGCGTCCTAAACGATAATTTAATAATTTCGTATCGAAATTACCGCCGTATCAATATAATTTGACAGCTTGGTACATAAGAATAAAATAATATATAGATTATAGGTACATATTGTTAGGTATAATGTAACATCTAAAAAAAAACGTGTGTGTGTGCAAGCTTGTGAAACTTCTTTTGTAGTTTTTAGCGATATCTGGGCTTTTCTGAAAATTATCAGTCTGCGAGAACTTGTATGAACTGATAGAATTGTGGTTCAACTTCGTGATATAAAAAAATTATTTATTTTGTTTGATTCTTTTAATTTATTCTATTTATTTTATTTACCCTTTTAATTTTTTCTCGTCATTGGAGAAAATTAGCTGCGGCCTTCTTATCAACCATCTTATAGGACCTAAGTAACATGAAATATGATAATATTATATCTATTAGAATGTTATATACAGCCAACTGCGGGCACGTATACAGAAAAGTAATCAGTTGAGTTACAGTTGAGTTTTGCAAAAAAAATATTTTATTCAACATTTGTTTTTTTTTAGTCTTAATATAAGTTAATATTAAAATATAAATTGTGTATTTATCAAATTTATTTAATAAATGTAAATAGTAGGTATGCGCATATAGTAAACAAATTATACCTTACATCCGCCTTACATTGTCGTGTAAAAAAAAAAACTATAAAACTTTTTTGGGGAGGTATGAGCAATTGAACCCTCCCCCCTCCCCTGTTCACGTGCCTGACTACGTAATATATAATTTAATCGTGTTATCGAAGAAATTTAATTAGTACTGAAAAGCAATTAATTGGTATTAAACCAAACTGAAATATTTACCTATAAAAAGACTAAAACTATTTAATTTATTTTTGAACTAGGAAACTCGTGTTCCATAAGCAATTCTGAATAAAGTTTATTTTCTGCAAACTTATTTATAGAATGTTTTATGTAAGACTGAACTATTTATGAGTATCAAAACTTTAAACTTTATTTACCTATTAATAAATTATATCATGGAAAAAATTAACTGGTGAATTTCAAAATAGTTTGAAAATACTTTCGAGTTTAAATTTATAAAATTACCATTTAATAGGATGAGTACAATAAAAAATTCTGTTAAAAGTGCGGAAACAATAAAATTTTTTTGAAATGATACATATAAAATACTTAATTTATTGTATTATACAACATGAAGTGCTTCAAAGTTTTGTTTTAATTCATGATTAATTAAACAAATAGGTAACCAATAATTATTATTTTTATTGTATTTATGTCTACTTTTTTAGTATGTTGACAGCATTTACAGATTTAATGGATTATTAAATTGAATTGTTCTACTTCTGTCAATAGTAAAACTAGGAGCACTAAAAACCAATTATACATATTTAACGTTGTAAAATAAGATTTTATATCAATGTGCTATGTAAGTCACATGTTGCTGCACCATGTGTTAAAGCATTTAATACCACTGAAGTCGTTTTAACTATGGTGGACATAAATACAGGACAACAAATAGCTTACAGTTGTTAGTAAAATAAAAATATATATGTAAATTTGCATATTATGGTATCACAAACAAAAGGTCACGAAAAGAGTATAAGACCGTATCAAAATACATAATATATGATATAATGTTATTCCTAACCTAACCTAGATGTTTTCGCCAGCCAATTTATTTACAGATTTGCAGAAACCATTTAAATATTTATTTGAAAATTAGTTTTTATAATATTATGTTATTATTATTGTTTTTTTAATCGTTACAGGAGAAATATGACAATAACTGGTGGATAGGCCGACTGGTGAAAGAGGGCTCTGATGTGGGTTTTATACCATCCCCCGCCAAACTCGAACTCCTGCGTCAGATGAACCCATCACGAAGCTCAAAAAATCATTCTTCCAAAAACTCGTCATCTTCAAACTTAGGTGGTGTAATAAGTTACTTGATGTATATTGTCTACGGGGTTGACTACAAAGGTCGCCGATAATATCCTGAATTGTGAAAATAATCATAATACTACCTATTATGATTTCAATTTGATTTCTTAACCTCTGTGTGTGTTTTGTGTGCTACACGGAAAATCACAATATATTCAAAAATATTATAGGAAAGGAATATTGTAATGCCGTAAAATAAAAATTGGCCATAAAATATAGAGAGAATAATTTTAGAAGTATGAAAAACAAATTATGTGTCACGCGAATAAGTGATTAATGACCGACGGACAGAATAAATTAAAGTGCTTCCATTTATTTTCGTTTAAGATTCTGAGCTGAGTGACAATTGTATTGGTTTTACAATGATTTGTGTTTTTTTTTTATAAAAATTTACCTAAATCTTCATCTTTCAGAGTGCTATACTGCTATTTGATTGCAAATACTTTATCAAGTTGGTAGGTACTATGAAAGCTCAAAAATGTGAAAATCTCAGTTAATTTCTTAAAAATTAGAAATAACCAACAAAAAACAGCGAAAAATAGAAATATTTATGCAGCACAAGTTTTTGACAAAATCAATTTAGTTTTGTTGTTATAATACAAAAAAAAATGCCATTTACGGTCTTGACACTCAAAATTTTCATTAAATAGTAGTACTATATATTTTTAATAGTAATTTCTACACATGATATAAATTCCAAAATATTTTAGGGTTTTTTTTTATTTATGTTGATAAGTATTTTGTTTCTCAATCAAAAAACATGACAAGAGAATACAATGTGCAATGAAAGTTGTTCCTATCTCGAAAATACACAGTGACATTTTGTTATTTTTCATAAGACAACATAAAATGTTGTTAAAAACGTTAGAAAGTTTAAAAAACTCCAAATTATTTTGCAGATAAAAATCCATAAGATCTTCAATTTTAATATTTCAGTTTTGAAAATGTAATACGAGGTTCTTCATACATTTTTCCATATTATAAGCAATGTATAAATATCGAAAGTACATAATTTTAATTTTTTCGTTAGAAGCTAATGTAACATTCCACCGTCACATATATTATTGTTTTCTATTGGTACACAATACAAATTTTAAAATATTCAGACTCATTTTAAATTTTTATGCCATGAACTATTTCACAGCACTCTATGGAATATAGATTATTGATTTATAAGTTTTATGAAATGTCTTTAGCAAAAATTGATTTAACCTACCGAGTTAAGGAAATACCTATTATATAACATAAAGTATCCTTAGGAATAGGTACTGATCTACTCGAAATCTTTTTTACGTGTACAAAAGTTACACTTAGTTTAAGTGTTTTCATTTCATTCAAATTTAAGACATTCATTATTAAATTGTCCTACTCATTGGCTAGGTACACTCGAAACTAATTTTTATACTATACAGTAGAAACAAGTCCCCAGTTTTTTTATTAATCGTATTTCATAAATAGTTAATCATATATTATTATGCATGTATTCTTAACCTATTATGGTTATTAATACTACATTTGTTAATAAAAATATATTATACAAAGTAAAATAATAATCCAAATACCCGACTACAGCGATCAGAAATCAAAAAAGGACACTTATATATTCAGAAAATCTGTTGTAAAACATTTAAAATCCTCGGATTCATCAGACTTATCTCCTCAATTTTGATTTAACTGCAGGAATTCGTTAAGGATTCTATATTGCTACTTAGTTCGACCTACTCTAAAGTATGGATCGGTTCTTTGAAACCCTCAATTATCCATGGATTTCCGAGCGGTAGAAATGTTTCAACGTGAATTCCTATCATTTTCTGCTTATTATCTAAAGGTCCCTTACCATCCACATGATTACTACCTTATTCGTAAAGTCTTTAATTTATCCAGTTGTGCTAATCGAAGATATATTGCGAGTGTATCATTTATTTCTAAACTTTTATCTGACTAAATTGTTTGTCCTACTCTTCTTTCATAAATACGTTTTTAAGTCCCGTCTCGTCATACTAGATACACTCCTAAATCATCATTTCTGTATTCCATGTCCTCATCTAATTATCTATTAAAGGCCCCTCTCTATTGTAATTTTTTATGAAAATAACCTTTAATAATATATAAATTATTCATCAACTGGGTATTTTATCATTATTATTATTATTATTATTATTATTTGTTCTACTTACGATATTATTGTAAGTATCAAATAAATCTATCACTCTATATGTTTGAGCTTCGACCTTTATTATTATAGAATAAAAAATATTAATATACTGTGTCATTGTATCATAAAAAGTAAAACTTTATTGAATATAACATTGGCTTTTGTAGAACTATATACAGACAATATTAATTGAGGAACGTATTAAGAGGACTGAGGATAATTCACCAAACTGTATATCTTATTTAATACACTATTATACATACAAAAATGTGTAACACTTGCCATACCTTCATTGACAAACAAATTAAAAATTCAAATAAATTCCCACCTATTGTAGATCCGATGGTTTTTAATTGAAATATAAATAGTTTTAAAACCGTATAATTTTTTGAAGCTTGTCAGTCCGCAATTATACCTAATTGCTTATAATATTATAGATCAATTTTGGAAGTAAATGTCACATTGTTTAAGCTATAAATTGATTAAATAATATATGTCATATATGATTATAATTAGAAATTTATTTTATCGTCAAACGAATTTTTAATTTGTTTTGTGTGTACGACAAAATTAAAATACACCACTGGAATAAATATACATTATGTATTAACTCTAGAATAAAACTTCTATAGCTTTCATAAATAAGTGTAATTATAGTATCTTCAAAAATAAATTAAATATCAAACCCATGTTTCTATAATAAGCCCACTTCAGATTTAAGATACAGTTAAGATACTAAAATTTCCAAAAACAAAATAAATACGAATTTCCCTCTCGAAATGGCATATATAATTATCAGTAAGTACTTAAAAGTAAACGAATGAAATGCAGATTACTCTCGTGTTGCAGATTAGTCGAATTAAATTCCTATTTACTTACTCAGAGTTTCATTATAATATTAAACTTCAAACTGTTCAGTTGATACCCGTCCCACTACACCGGATCTGAATATTAAATGTTTTGTTGAAGTGCCTACTGGTATTTACAACGAAATTGAACCGTATCCATTACAATGCGTTCCGTTGAAAAGGTTTAATTTAAAAGAGACAAACACAGAGAACTCGCTTTTTCCGTACATAGTTTCGCTGTGTTTCGAGTGTGCCTCGTCATTGAATTAGGTATTTCACTGTAATAATGGATGTGTTGAATTTTAATTCAAAGATAAATCGTTTTGTATATTATGAAAAACTTAACTCCGGAGGAGACGGCGTGCCTCTATTTTTAAGTAAATTAAATTTCTGTACATTGTACATGCTCCTACAAATAGATACACTGTTAAATTAAAATAGGTTTTACTTTTTATGACATACACATTACACCTGAACAGTAGTATATTATATTAGGCATTACTAATTGATTTAACCTTACTTGGTTTCTGATATTTCTAGTTAGGTAGATACTTAAATTGTTTTTTTATTTTACTTTATATATATATAGACTTTAATATTGAATAGAGATTTACATTAATAAAGACGATATATACGCGTGTCGTATTACCCATAATATGATTAATTATTTATAAATTATGGTCAATAAAGAAATCGAGAACTAGCTTCTGTTGTATAGCGAGGATTGGCAACTAGCGGCCTGTGTATCATTTTTATCTGACCCTTACTAAATTTTTATTTTTAATACTAACAAGTTGAAAAATTAAAATCACCTCATAAAATGCCGGAGAAACGTGTATTTGTAATGATAAATTACATTATCCGTAGAATATAGATATTAATTCTTATCTTATAGTTAACTGCCGCAAAATGTCTAAGTATCCAACTATGTAAAACCTCTAGTCAATATAGGTTGTAGGTAGAGGTACTTCTATATCAGCTTTGTCGTATCCATCTTGCCACGATGCCATATAGTGTTATTATTTAGGTACTTGTTTTGTAATGGTTACACTGTTCATAAGATATTTGTTCGCTTTCTGTGCTCTGGCTCGCTAGATATAATTTTTCACAAACTTTACACTGTATAGTAACTTTGAGTTCTCCATCACTGCTGCATTATAGTATAAATCAGTGACTGCCAAACCTAGATGATTTCATAGTCGATCTCCCTTTGCTAGAACTTATAATTATACATGTATTATATACAATACTATGTAACATGAACATATTTCGGATTAACCTGTTTGGGTGATATGGAATTTTCTTACATGAAAGTTATAATTTATAAAAGCTGAATATTGATATTTAACGTACCTACCTATCTACACTTTCTGATGATAATTAAGAGCAGAAACTTCGTTTTGCAGTTTAGCGACTGTTTCCCAGATAATAATAAACTTTCCAGCGATATTCAATGACACGCTTCTTTGACAACAGTACATATTATAATGTTATTTTATTTTGAAATTATTTGGAAATATGTAATGTAAAACCTTCATTTTTAGATAACTTTACGCTTTAATTGTATTGTTTATAAGTATGTTTATTATTAATATTAGTGATTAAGACTTAAAAATAAAAATAACGTTTTTACATGAGTCCGATCCTCAAAGGAAAAATATATTCTCAGTAGATCTTAATTAAAAAAAGAGTTTAGGTCGCCCGGTATTAACTATATACGTTTCGAGTGTATCTACCTAGTCATTAAGCCAATGTAGTGGATATGTGGAATTTTAATTACAAACATGGACAAACTTTTTTTTTTTAATTCAAATTATCGTAGGCCATTTGCTCCTCTCATAATCTAAAATTTAAAACAAAGTATTATAGTTTTTTTAACTTCACAAATAGGTATTTTTTATTATGCAAATTTTCGTAGACCATTTGCTCCGCTCAAAATCTAAAATTTGAAACAAAATATTATAGTTTTTTAACTTCACAAATGGGTATTAAGTACTAATTATTTTTCTGCCAGCTGAATTACCTCAAAACTATATAGTTTCTATATTATTATTAAGTACTAAAAATATTTTCTACTTGGATAAAATCATTATTTTTATATTGATGCGGCCACGGACATAATTTATGACTGATATACTTATTTTGTACGGTCCTAAAATTGAAGAATATATAATAACACAAATAGTATGTATATAATATAATATGTATAATGATTATAAAGAGATAAATATTTTAAACACACGAGGTTTGAGTATATAGGTACTCGTAGTCCGTAGATCGATTACATTATGTTTGTTAGCTATAATTATTGTTATTAAATGCTAAACTATAAAATGTTTCAAATTATTATTTAAATTCCCAATTATATCTATTGGTAGTTGAGTATTTAATACAATTTAAATAAACTGTTGTTTATATCTATATTTCTGTTTTTAATAGCTGAAGATGATGATCCTATTGGAAGTGGTCGGATATCTGCCAGAACCACATTAACCGCTCCCACAGCCAAAGACAAACGCAAAATTTTCTTTAAAAAACAAGAGACCACACCCCCATACGATGTTGTACCATCTATGAGACCTGTTGTGCTTGTTGGTCCATCTCTAAAAGGGTACGAGGTGACTGACATGATGCAAAAAGCTCTGTTCGACTTTTTAAAACATCGTTTTGAAGGACGGTACGTTATTATGGTTTTTTGTTGTAATTAAAGGAAAATATTTTAACTAAATCGGCATTTTATTGATTCTCTTTCTTCCATCATGATATGGAGAACTCAGCTATTCTCATTGTTGATTGATTTTTTCAGAATAATTATTACACGTGTAATGGCCGATATATCCTTGGCCAAAAGATCTCTTCTCAATAACCCTTCAAAAAGAACAGTTATCGAAAGTAAGCCTGGTTCAAACTCAAGATCGAATATAATGGCTGACGTACAACAGGAAATAGAACGAATTTTCGAACTCGCGAGAACATTACAGGTAAAATTTAATTTATTATAAAATAAACTGTCTTAAATATTAATTTTTGTTTTTTATAGCTTGTCGTTTTGGATTGTGATACCATAAATCATCCATCGCAATTAGCAAAAACTTCTTTGGCACCAACCATAGTTTACTTAAAAGTCTCGTCACCTAAAGTAAGTATCTTCAATTTATTTGACTTTTTTTTTCATTTGTATTAAACCTACCGTGGGAACTAGGCTATTAGGTGGTTTTTTAAACTGTGGGGGAGGGTACTGTAAGGTGAAACACGTGTGTGTTGAATTTGGTAGATTTTCAAGTGAGTACCCCTAAGTATCTGCCATGCCCGGATGAGGGATGGCGGCACTTGTTCTCCGGACACCGTGACAAGAAAAATGCCGCCCGCGGCCGAGGTATCGAACCAGCGCCGGTGCACATTGCAACCGACGCCTTAGTCCGCTCAGCCACTCCATCCCGCACCTATATAATATTATATACCTTCTACAACTGACAAATGTATACATTTGTTTACAAACTAAACTATAATAAAATAATTGCATGGTTATTTGCATGAATAAATCAACTATTTGTGTACATAAGCGTATGTACAGTAATTTCTCTCGTCGAAAAATAATTGTTGTGATTTGTAAATCGAATAAATAATAATGGTTGCGGGTTCGAATTTTAAAATGCATATTTTTAACAAATTATTCAATTATTATTTTTTAAATTGGAGCTGCTTGAGTATAAATTTAGGTATTTTATAAAAAATATGTACGTTATCATCAACAAATCAAATCGTCTCAAACTTTCAAGTATATTATATTTTATCGGGCCGAGTTTATACCACCGAACTTTATTTTTATCTGCGATTTCTGTGCCGAGCTTACAAAAAAAAGGTGCCGAGTGTTTACATTTGCCATTGCATGTACTGCTACAGGTACTCCAGCGGTTGATCAAGTCCAGAGGCAAGTCGCAGACCCGACACCTGAACGTACAGATGGTGGCGTCCGAGAAGTTAGCCCAATGTCCACCGGAGATGTTCGACGTGATACTGGACGAGAACCAGCTGGAGGAAGCGTGCGAACACATATCCGAGTACTTGGAGGCGTATTGGCGCGCAACCCACCCGCCCGTCACGCCCGACCCCAATGAACAGCAGCTGTTGACGAGACCGATCAGAAGCTCGCCGAGCATGGACATGCCCATCATGTCGTCGATGATGAACAACTATCAGCCGTCAGGTGAGTCGCAAGTGTCGTACTCGTTGGTGTCTAGCATCAACGTGTTCGCTAGTCCCATCATCCGGATGCAATGATATATAATATTATATCGATATCAATATATTATTACATTATTGTTATTATATTATATTATAGTATCGAATAATTATTGTCATCCGCATTTGGGTATATTATACGTAGGTAATTACTAATTACCGTGGTTGGGATTTTATAGCACTTAAAATTGCATAAATATGCAAAAAAATAGCAAAAATAGTTGTGTTACACCAGTTTTATTTAATATTTAAATATTATTAATTTTTAATAATTATTTATTGTATGAAAATAATATAAAATGTGTTATATAAAAAAAAAAAACAGAAAAGTTTAATTATTAAAGTTCCTTACAAATTTCGAACAAGTAGGGTACCTATATTAAAATAATAAAACACTCAAACTTGTGAGAAAATTACTATATTTTATTTTCCACCTGTATTATTGGGAAACATGTTAATTACATATTGTATTAATTCATAAAATATTATCAATTTTGATTAGAAATCTGATCCCAAAGAGTCTCCAAAATTAGCATAAAAATCTAAGAATATGCAAAATAACGTTTTTAATTCTAATTCTCTGTATCACGAAACAAATTTTAAGCTTACTCTGCTATTTTTTTTTAAGCATATTATAAGAAAATTTTAAATTTCTATAAAATCCTAACCCCAGTATTAACCATCTAGAACACTACATCATTGCGTAGGTATACAGTGTACAAACGCTTAGAACAAATTGTATATGTTACCTATGTTTAAAGTGTACCCATATGATTTCGCTTTGTTGTATTAAAATTATATTATCGTATTATATTGTATATTGTATGGATTGGCTTTATTTTGGTTTGAAGGGAAAAAATACCACCGATACTATTCAACGACAATATATTCACCTACTGCAACGTCGTTCATCCCGAGTAGATAAAAAATAAACCACAGTGTGCATTATTGAGCAAGACTGGGCAGTTCGATAAATGAGTTTGGTTAGTTGAGTTGAGTAAAAAAAAATCCAAATAGTTAGGTTAGTTGGATAATATTATGCTCTTGAGAAGTGGACAGAAGTCGTATTGCTTCTAGGTTGCTAAAGAAGTCATAACTATCTGCAGACTAGAATGCAATTTAATTTAAACATTAACTTGTTATTTATTATATTAAATTTAACTTGTCAACTAATTTTAATGCCCAGCCTTGTAATATTGCTTAGTGTACGTTTTATGTGGTATATAATATATGTACAGAATGATTTGTTTGACTTGCGACATTCATTATCTTGATTTTTGGTTAAATACTTAAATGTAATGATTTTATAAGGCTTAAAGCATTTTAAGCTACTATTTAGAACGATAAGTGCAGTGCAGTACTCTGCTCAAAAGCTCACTGTATCCAATGATTATAAAATATGAATATAAGAAGCAATAACAGACATTTAACGTAAATATGTTGCTTTTGACAAAAGTAAAATACTAAACTAAAACTGTTAATTTTACTGAAGGGACAAGTCACAAGTTGGTGCTTATCTATTTAAAATTATATTTATGTACATAGTATATGAATAAATGAGGTTCAATAACATACAATTTCCAAGGTGCAATAATGAGTGTCTCTTGTTAAAAACAAATCTTGTGTTTTATAATATTTAAATATTGTAATTGCCATAATATATGCCTAACAATATAATATTATTATCTTCTCACTACAAGTGGCGCTTTTAACGAATAAGGCCCCTCGCCAGTATATATATTATACAATATTTGAATATCGGATATTATTGGCTCCTTCTCTCCATCCTGTTGAAAAATATTCCAACAATCATGCCAGAATACGAGTATGACGTATTACATATATTACAACAATATTGTGTACGGATCGTTGTTTCCGTATAGTATGAGATATTGAAATTCATTTAATTCGCATATAGCGTGACGACTCCGCATAATTTAACTAAGTACGAGAAGTATATCTAAATTCCACGAAGCAAAATCGAAACCACGAAATCTAAGTTAATATTAGAGTTGACACGCTTTTCACCAAATCTGAAAAGAACAATGTGTTCGAAATACTGTAGATATATCAATTTTGTAAAAGATTCGTTAGACGATAACATACCTACCAAAAGTTAAAATTATGAAGTTTATTGTAGAAAAATATTCTCCCCTAAAATTTGGTAATAGATGTTTGAACTCTATAATATTTTTGTTGATGCCACAATTTCGATTTTAAGTATAATATAATATATAATTTTTTCTACATGGCTTATTAGATTGACGAAGACATGTACTCTTAACCAGTGTTGTAAAATATTTGAGTATATTAGTATTCAAATAGTTTTTTAAGTATTCAACACTATCTATCAACAAGTATTTGAGTACATTTAAATACTCCTAATATACCTACTCTATAATATAATACTCAAATACCTGTAGGTATTTAAATACTTTTTAAAAGTATTTTTTACAACGCTGCTCACACAAACTCATAGCAGCGCATCACCATGACATCATGTCCTATCATATCTAAAGATTATACACATGTATGATATTACATGTTAAATATTATATAATATTTATTATTATTATAATTACTGTATCATCGAGAGTAACGCACGTCACCCAATGTCATGCAAACTGAAGTATTATAGGTGTTTTTATTGAATAAAGGAACACGCAACGCTGTAACGAATCTTTGGCGGGCGAAGATCGTATAACATAATATTATTAAAATGTTATGACGAGATGATATCATTAAAATGGTGTGTGAACAACGCGTTGTGAAGGAATGCGATGAATGAAAGGTTTGCGATATTATAATATGACTTAGGTATTACACTATGAGCTACGATCATTTCCGGAGGGGTGTATGTGACAGGTACGTGTCCGATTGAATTGAATCCAAATGTTGAATGCTGCAACAACCCATTTGTACACAATTTTGACTGTTTATACACCATCATGTCGACAAGGATCACAACATAATAGTCGACTCTTTCGACATTTTCCTCAAAACCTATCCCTTTTTTTCAACAGTTTTTCCGCACTACTAACTACTTTCAGTTTTATACTTTTATCGTTTTATGTCGACTTTGTTTTTTTTCTAACATGGAAACGCATACAAAAATTCCTAACCCATTGTTACAACGTTAAAATAATTGTTTTAGAAACTTTGTCATTTTAGATTATAATATATTATAATCGCTCGATAATGTTTGTTATATTTTCCTTAAACTTGCGATCATCTATAATTTTGTGTTCTGTACAGCGGATTTCATATTATCAAGGGTCAAACCCTCGCAAACTAAATAGTTTTGTAAAACATTTTTATTTTTTCTCTACTTTTAAGGTGTTTTTTTATTGAGTTAAAAATGATGACTAAAACGTCGAGACTTTTGTCCAGTGTGGAATTTGTTTGATAAAAATCCATAGTAGTTAATTGTATGTTTTCGGTATTCGGTAACTTGTTAATATTCATAAATACATTTTGACTAGCGTTTATATCTCCAAAACATTGCTGTGTATCCTTCGCTAATATTTGCTATTTTAAAACTTAACTTTTCCTTTTTGGTCTACTGTACCCTACCCAAAAGTCAAACGCAATTATTTTGTTTTCAAAATCCAATCGCAGCGATTTCACAAAGAATACAAACATCCGAACTTGTTAACACAATACGCCCCCAATAAAATTCCATATCATTATTAACGTAAAACAACAAAATATCTATGAGTAGAGGGTTTTTCGCATGTTTTTATTTGCTGTTGCTGTGTCTTAATTATTATTAGTTAATGTTGGGTCTTTTTCATAATATACTTACACGAGCATTCGTAAAGTTGATGTTTACCTCCAAACTAGTCAGGATATTTTGAAGGAGTTTAGAAAAATGCTTTTCATCGTCATTCGTCGTAGCATGACCAGCATGGCTTGTCTGAGGACGACGATCGAGTTAAGGTCATGAATCACTACGAAACGTCAAAATATCTCTTGGGGGAAGAGGGATGTACAGTCTTGGACTTTTTTTTAAAAAGAGACAGACAATATGAGGCTTTTTAAGGCTATATGTACAAAAACCATGAACTGAGATATAAAAGACTCGATGTGATTGATAGGTGGCGGGAATTTCCCTCAAAAGAAGTACCGTGATGGATTTCCGGGAATTTTCCTCTTACTTTTTTTGCACTGGTGCTCCATCTATCGGTCAGTGGCGTGAACAATCACCCCATTATATCAAAACTGTACATACTTATAGGGAAACTTTATCTATCCTCTTGATGTGTCCTATTAGTTCGTGACAAAAACACTGAAAATAATTGAACTCGCATTCTTAAAAGTATCACTAAATTCTGGTTTGACAAGCATTGATGTCTTATCATGATTCATGACAGTAGTTCTATCAGGTTTACCGAAAATAGCCTGTACCTATGTGTAGTGCACGAATATGTGGAGCTCGATTTTCGTCCACTAACTGATACTTACTACATATAACAAAAAAAAACCAACGAAATTTTGCTAATATATTTTGCGGTGTACCATCCAAACCCATCCCTACACTACCATGATATTCAAGTCCAGATTAAGAATCCATTGCAGGGCTCTGGAACACCAGATACTTAGTGGGTCCCCTTTTAACTCCCAAACTTCAGCCCTTCTCACTTCAAAACAACTTTAATGTATTTAATTTAATTTACTAATATCAATGAGCCCCACAATGTGCCTCCCTTACCCCCAACCTTTATTAATTTGGACTTGATGATATCATTTCAATATATGCACCTTTAAATTCGTTTCGTAACGAACGGTTTTCGCCGTGGAAATGTGTTTGCAGATTATCAATCGATGGATCGCATGCCGCCGCGTCTCGAGCGCATGCGCACCACCGAGTACGACGACTACGAACTCAGCGATCACGACAGCATGGTGTACGTGCCGCCGGCCATCGGGTACCAGTCGAAACAACCCCAGCAGCAACAGCATCACAAGCAACAGCATCATCATCAGCAGCAGCAGCAGCAGCAGCAGCAGCAGCATCACCATCAGCAGCAACAACATCACCATCAGCCACAGCAGCATCATCAGCAGCAACAGCAGCATCATCAGCAGCAACAGCAGCACCATCCGCAGCAGCACTATCAACAGCAGAAACAGCAACAGCAGCATCCGCAGCACTATCAGCAGCCACAGCAACAGCAGCAGCAGCAGCAACAACAACAACAACAGCAACAGCAACAGCAACCGCCTATGCGACGGCAGCACAGCGTGTCGTTCGAACGGGGCCAGTCGCAACGTGGACAGCCCCGTCCGGGCGGCAGCTCACACAACGTGCACCACCAGCTGTCGTACCAGACCGATATGCTGACCCACAGCCCTCCTGAAAACTCGTCCGACCATCTCATGTCGTACATGTCTCCCACGCTCAGGTCGTCGTCGTCCACGTGGCGTGGCAACAACGTAAACATTTAGTACAAACAGACGGAATTTTAATAACAGCACGCGTGACGTTAGGGTGACCGATAGCGTTCGTAAGGTGTAACGATACAATAACAACGATAATAGTAACGGTGTGTAACTCTTTGGTTTGTGTTTCGTGTTTGAACGACGTCGTCGTCGTCGTCATTGTTGTTCTTATTGTATTGTTATTATCCATTGCGATCGTTATTTGTTGTAACAGAGTCGTCGGCGTGGTTGTCATTAATATTGCCGTAATCAAAACAAATGTCATGTAAAATCCCGTTAGGGTATCATTGCGATATTATACATACCTACTTTAGTATTAGTCAACACATCTCGTAGATGATAAAGAAACTGATAGGACCATAGATATAATATATAATATACAGTTGTGTCTCAAGGGGAATAAAAATAAATTCGAGTTATATACTTAAGCACAACTTAAAAACACTTCAAAAAAATTCGAGTTTTCTTACTAACCTCAAGAGTAGCGAAGCAGCACAGAATGAACGGAAAGGAATCTCGTCTACGGAGAAATTTTTTCAAAAATTATCCAGATTAACAGTGGTGCCAGAAAATAGAAAGTATATATTTTTTTTTTAGTTTTCTGTGGCGTAGTTGCTACTCAGCTCATCGTTTCAATTTATGTATAAATTCAAATACACATTGTTGCCTGAATTTAAATAAAAAAGAGAGAATAAGAATTTTCACTGGCAGCATGTGTTTACAACAATGGCGGACACGCTTTTTCCAACTCTCCTAAGTTTCCCCTCCCCCACCAAATGTTAATTATTCTACGACGATCCCTTCTGTTTATTCTGCGTTATAACGACCTCAATCTGAAACTTCTTATCCACGTGCATTGCATTTTGTGTATGGATACAACCCTAAAAGCATATCACTCAATTATCGGGTGATAAGCATAGATAATAAATTTATTTATATGATATTTATGGTGATAAGCATCGTTGTCCTATCAACTCCTTTATTATCTATGAGACAACACGCTGCACTGGTATACCCATATATAGACTTATAGGTTCATGTCATATAATCATGATCGTAAAATGTACATGTCTATTGAGGTGTATACCTTGCACGATAGTTAATAATAATAATATGATATGTGTAAATATATTATTATTATAATTTAGTGAATACGTCATTAATATTACATTGAACTTCAATTGCCTTAATTGGACCAACATTATTTCTGAGTGCTTATTATAATTATTTATAATCGTATTTCGTATAATATTAACTTTAAAACGAATAAATCTGGCTATGATTATCCGAACAATTTCAATACCTACTTATAAAGTATAATTGTAGCATATTATAATTCATACAAATATTATTATTAAATTCAATTCAATTGCTATCATTTAGTTTTAATTTTTTATCCGATCAATAACCACCCGCCACTGGGTTGTATTAATATAGTAGAAAAAATTAAACCCTTATTATGAAACTCTCAAAATTGATTGTAAGGTAGCGTTATTACTCTTGTAAAACATAACATTTCATGTTTTCAATAGTTTGTATAAGTTTCTTAGAGTAGCTGGTATACCTACGGCTAATACATAACGGGTAAAAAATAATTTTAAGGATAATTGTTTTTCATAATGCTTGTCCTTGTTTTAAACGTGATAAAATTATCAATATTATACTACCTAATCGCCTTTGTGTGTTACTCTTTTTGTTGGTGTTTATTTGATTATAGTACGTACCTACTGCTTTTTAATATATAAGAATTTCTTTTATATTTAGATATTTGAATTACTATTTTTTTTCGCTGAACTTGTTTGTTTTTTTTTTTTAATACGTACACAGTGTTCAAAAACAATGGTTTTCATTCTACAGGTGTACAAGACTGTTGTTTTTGGAAAATGTTTTCAAACTTATGATAACACACACTGTAAACAGGGTCTTTCCGAATTTCACGTTATAGAAAAACGATGGGTAATGCTTACTTAATAGAGCATAATGCAATCCCCTCGATTTTTGTAACCTGAAATTTGGAAATCACTGTGTATAAATGTAAATTAATTACTAAATTAGATTGCTTATTGTTACCCATAATATATAATAATTTATTAATTAACGGTCCTATGATTTCCTATCTCAAAGTCTATACTAGAGGGACGGAAATTAAACGTTAATTGTGTACCTATATATATTATATTATTATCATCCGGTTTTATTTACTTATATTATTATAAACTATAATATTATATAATAATAATTAATCTTATTGTACCATTTATATGGTTTTCATTTTTTTTCTACTATTTTAATCGGACAATTGGAAGTAATTATTAATGATTTCTATTAAGTCAATTTGAAAATAAAATTTAACGAAAAATAATAATTATTATAATAATAAAAAGTAGGTGTAGTAGTTATCTGTTGTTATCGTAACTATTGAGAAGATTTCCCGCTTTAAATAGACCAATTTTTTTTCTCTTTCATTGACGGTCCACACGTATAATAACTGCTCTAAACGCTCTTAACATTTATTTTGTTTACCGTTCACGATTATTATTATAGACGTCATTGTCGTTGTGTATTAGTTGCTTTTGTAATAATAATTTCGTCTTCATTTGACTTCCATATTAATAATATCTAAACGTCGTTACTTATAATCATAGTATTATATTGAAAGGTACTTGTAACTTCTTAGTGATTAACGATTATTATACCGACAATCGCCTTACTTCGTTTCATCCGTGTTTCATCGATCGTCATGTCCAACCGACTACCGAAATTTTATGTCATACATAATACATGCATTTTTAAACATTTTTGGGATATTCGTTGTAATATCTCCAAGGACAAAATAAACCTTTTTTTATCGTTTATTAAGACATTTTCCCGATTATATCTAACCTATATGTAACTATTATAGGACATCCTGATCTGGAGATAAGTAAACTCGACCTCAACTTGCACCTGTACGATGATATTGATTTTAAATAATACGATTTACAGTTGCATTTTTAAATAAAAAATAATTTTGATCGATACTCACGAACAATGACGCGTACGCGTGACAAAACGCAGTAATACAAAATAAATATAATTTTTTTGTATACTTTTTACACGAAATATATAATAATATGTTACTATTTTGAATTTTTCTAAATGCTTTGCTTTTTAATCATGTCTTTAATATTATACAGCCTTCGATGACCATACAATATGTAACGAAACATAACTTTTTAAACGATTATATTAATACGCCTACGGACGATTTCAAGGACATTTTAATAAATAACAAATATATATGGGATCAAAAGAATGGACGCTTGGCCATCCTGTAGCTATACAAAATAAGCATTATTATTATAAGCATTCAATCTATTCCGTATCCGGTCCGACTGGAACGGATGCTTTTTTTTATATATTATAATAATAATAGTATTATTATATTATTGCCGATTTGGCCGTTTTAAAATACGCGTCAAAATTATAATATTATTATTTATGTATTGGTATATTATTATTATTATTAGTCGCATCGACTGGTGAACAAATCCGATACGTTTAAATTAACTATATTATATATATACATATATATATATATATATTATATATTGCACAACTCGTAGTTTTATTATAATTGCATATTATTATTATTATTATTATTATAGAGACTATATAGTATATATATTATTATTATATTGACACAAGCTTGCCTATATGTATAATGGTTTTGTTGATACGTTGTTGCGCGATGAGAATTCCCTTCGGTTTTATAGTGTTATCACTTATCATTAATTTTTAAACACCTTTTGTAATAATATATAATTAAAATAATATATTTATCGGTTATATTATGTCACCGCTCTTAAAAATCACTGATGATCGTATAATGGTATTATAACATTGAACAAAAAAATAATGACGAAAAACGTCCAATAATATTATTATACTCTTGTGTGTATAAGTATGCGACTCCTTCATTTATTTTACTGTGACGTTTTTTTTTCAAAATTCGTATCGAATGAGATATTTTCTATATTATTATTATTATTACCTATGTAGTTTTCCATGTGTTTGATATTTTTCCTACATGTATTATTATTATATGGATCGCTCGTTCCGATTGAAAAAAACATAATAATAATATTATATGATCGTCGTGATTATTATTATTATTATTAATTAATATGTGTGAGCTTTGTAGTGACTGACATATTAATAATATAATAATATCATCGTGTCGTTACATATGTATAACATATTATTATTATTATTATTTTTATTATATAAGATTATAGAGTTTTAGTGTGTGAATATTGGATTTCGATTGTTCGACATATAGTAAAGTTAAAGTAACATTTATGTATCATAATATAATACGGAGAATACATAAATATATAAAATAAGACGCGAGCTCGTTATTTTCATTTTTTTTTATGCTATTTTCTTCGTTTTTTGTTTTATTTATTTAATTTTCTTTTCCATTGCAAGAATCTCCTATATTCCGAAATCCAGGTACTTTTCCGATAATAATCAGATTTCTATACTATATGCATATTAACTAAAGAAGAAATTTTAAATAAAACGAATAACATCAAGGGTTCTCTCCTAACCCTTTGTTTTTTTTTCGAACTTTAAATACCTGTTAAATTTTTTCATACCATAATAAAATAATAAATAAATAAATAGCCGTCTAAATTTCAAACCTTCTCGAGGAATAAGCGGCTCTAAACAAAAATTATATCAAATTATCGAAGCACTCCCTCTATGTACCCCCGAATAAATTATCACGGAATTAAAAACAAAACTAACAATTATTGTAAAATTCGATATTTTTAATTTAAAAACACATAGGTTTCAGTTATTTTAAATGTATTCTGTGCTCAACATTTTAATGGTTTCTGGTTTCCAGACCGCGTAAGATATTATACATAATTTAAGAAAAATACGAAAAAAAAATGTTATTTGACGGCACCTGTTCTTATTGTCCAATATGTATAGTACTTGTATAAAGAAGTCTGCGTAAA